CTGGCCGAGCGCTACGTGGAGCACCGGCTGCGCGCGGGCGACACGCTGCAGGGCATCGCGCTCAAGTACGGCGTCACGGTAAGGCCCGGCCGCCCCCGCCCCGGTGGGGCCGCGAGGCCTTGTCCCCCGCGCGCGCCGCTTCTCGCGCAGGTTTTGGAGCATCGCAAGGGGCCGGAGACCCGCCGGGCCGGGCCTCGCCTCAGGCTCTCCTGCCCCACCGGGTCCCGGGACCAAGCCAAGCCCCTGCCTCTGAGCAGCAAGGAGACCGGGGTTGTTTTCTCAATCTACGGGCTCCCTGGTCTCGGTCGGCTCGGCTTCGCTCCCTTGGAGCGCGTGCTGTCAACCCTTGCGCCTGTCCCCGTTATTGTTTTACGTTGGGCCACGCCTAATAGCACCCCTTGAGCACCAGGGTACGCAGCCCCCTGCACGGGTGCCGGAGCACGGCACGTGAAGGCATTTTGCTTGGCACGCGCAGCTCGGGTTGGATGGCAGGGTGCTGCCACAGCAAGGGTCGGGTCCCTCATGGCTCCCCACACCGCCAGCATCTTACAAGTCGAGCTTGTGGGTGTTTTTGGCACTCTGCCCAAACACACTGCTGACCCCTGGGGTAGGGGCTACCACTTGTGGGCACAGGCCAGAAGGGCCGTGGGCATCATGCCACACGGCCGCAATGAGTAGATGCTGAAAGGGGGAGTGACCTGGGTCTGACTGGGTGGGGTCCCCACCCCTGCCATTCCCCTCACTTGCAGCCTTAAGGTCTAGGGAGTTCTGATAAAGAGGCTGCACTGCTGTGTTCAGAGGGGATATCGCCCCTTTCCTCCAAGAGTGTATCCAGCCCCCCTCTGAGCCTGGCTAAACTGTCAGCTTCCACAACATCCGGTGGCTGCGAGTCCCACAGGGTGTGAAAAACAACTTCCTCTTGTTAGTTTAACATTCTGCTGCCGAGAACTCGCACCCAGCAGGATACAGTGGTTTTAACGCTACCACGTCCTACTTAAATTCTTTCCATTTATCGGGCAAATCATAGTTGAGGACTTAACAGCACCAGTGCTGCACAACACTCCTGTTGCCCTTGAAAGGAGAACAAGGCCTGAGAATCACTGCCCTCTGCACAAAAGTGGCATATAGTGTAGTTTTCTCTTCTGAGGTATGGTGCGTTTGCCATAGTTTGCTTCAGCTTGTATGTGGTGTAGGTCTTCAGCGGGCACTGATAAAATGGCTCCTGAGCCAGTCAGGTCCTAGGGCCACTGGGCTATGCACTGCGGGAAATCCTCTGCTAGCTGCTCTGAGAAAGATGTGGAGGTTGAGGTTAGGAATCCTTAGTTACAGTGCAAGTCCTAAAGCAGATGAGGTGTGGTACAAATTCCTGGTTACTGTGAATGAGAAGTCTTGGGGAGATTTGAGCCTCAGAAACTGAATAGTTGGACCTCTGTGAGCCTGTGGTTCATGACGGCAGAGGAATGCCTGCTCTGGGGTGTTGAATCTCAAGGTGCAGAGGGTTGTGGTGGTGCTGATGAAGGGGTGAGATGGGGTCTCCCCAACTAGTCTTCTCAGGCCAAGTATTCCTGCCCTGACCCATCTAACAAGAGTCAGTGAATTTTATTACAGAGGTAAAAAATTGTTTGGTAAAATTCCAGAAAGCTTTGGAGAGTTCTCTGACAGTGAGCAAAATTTGCTACTATTGCTGAAAAATATTCAAGAGAAAGCAGTTCTCCCACTTTTGGGCATATTATAATTGCTGGCCAATACCAGGTTGGAATGCCTCTTGTTGTTATAGAGGAGGACAGTTAGCCAGATGCTTTGTGAATTTTATTTTCTGTCCTTCCTGTGAAGCATCAGCTGGGAGTTAGGACTGTAGTCAAGCAACTGGTTTAGGTGGTTCACTGCCCAACTGGGATGGTGAATCATCAGACCATTAACTATCTGGAATTCACATTCATTTTTTAAAAATAAGTGAATCTAGGATCAGAAAAGGTGTCAGACTTATAGAATGAATTGGTGTCTATGTAGCAGGTTTTCCAACTGTAAATGAATGAGCAAGAGAGCAATCAAGACTCTTATTTTGAGATGCCATCTTTTCAGGGTCAGTCTGAAATGCATTGGCATGAACAGATAGCTACTGTGAACAACTGAAAAATTCTTCTAGTAGGATTACAACTAACAATTTTTACTCTGCATATGCTAATTTAGGCAGCTTGCTGCCCACCTACCCAGATATGTTAGTCATAAATCATGGCAACAGACTTTCTTTGCTTTCTTAGTGTGAAATATCTCTGCATAAAGGGCCAATGCAAGGCGTTTTCTGCTTCAACCATGCATTGGGCAGGACCAGAACTAAAGAGCAGAGCAAGGAGAATTTACTGAAGAGCCCCACAATAGATAAGGAAAGGTGTCTCAGTCAGCCCTCTGTAGTCAGGTGCAGACGGCCATAAAGTGCAGGATAAAGGGCAAGTCAGCCATGGGCGTCTCTCTAGATGCCTTCACTAGTTGCTATACACCATTTGAAAGTGATGGGAGCATGTATCAGCCTCCTGCTTGGACTAGCAGTAGTTTTCAACTTCACCTCCTGCAAAGAGCCTAAGTCTCCTGGATCTTTACAAAGGAGGAGTGAGCTACACTCTCTTCAATAAGTGCAACAGATACAGTATATAAGTCCCATACAGCATTCTCATTGTGTTTTAAAATACAAAGATATCAGAGTGAATAGAGGGAGTAGAAACAGTGACGTTAAGAAAGATTTTGTGGTTGTGCAGCATTTACTAAGAATAGCGTTTAAAACTACCCCAGACATACAAAACAAACTGTTGCCTGTGCCATTCACTTTGCAATTTCTTTGCATTCACATTGTGTTGTATGTTTAGTAAGCTCATAACAAGGTTAGCAGCTGAATATTTGCCATGAGATAATTTATTTCAACTTCAGGGCAACTTTTTGAGGTTTTCTTTCTTAATTCAGTATTTTTATTTATTGTATTTGCTAAGTAGTTGGAACAAATATAGTCAATAACCAGAAGAGATGCTTTCATTTCTGAATACAGGGAGTGCCTGGAACCTTAGGAATGACTCAGACTTTCATTGTACCAAAGTAGATGGAGTGTCAACGTGATTTCCTGTTAGGTCTTTTGCATGAGACCTTAACACCAAGGTTTTTATCTACTTGGTGTATGTATTTATTATTAAAGATCTTTGATACTTCCCCTTTTTGTTAATTTTTTCCTTTTTCCCATTGTGTAAAAATACACGTTTTGTGATCACCCTTCAACTAAGACATAACTTCAGATTAAGATCAAGTCTGTAGAGATTGTACTGATCTTAAATTTCATCTCTAAAGGCCAAAAGCTGGAGACTTTCATGAGCCTGCTTTTTTATTTTAAAAACCCCATGAATACTGTCTAAAATGTTTCTTCCTAGACACAACTTTCAGTCCAGAAAGACTCCGCATGCGCCAAAGTTCCATCAGTATAGGGTTTTGCCTTACTCCTGGATGCATTGTTAAATAATTTGCCCTTCACTGGTTTTTAAAGTAGATTGAAGTAGGAGTAGAGAAGAAAGGCAAGCTGTGGGGATCACTGCTTGCCTGCCATAGGGAGCAAAGAGGAGCTGGATTCCATGTGGACCCCTATTTCCCCTTACTTTGCCCCCTGATGAAGCTGACAGTTCCACCAGGCAGTGGTCTAGCAGCTTCCATGAGCTCTCATACATCCATATTTCCCTGTTCCCTCTCAACCATCATTTAAAAAGTACACCTTTTAGCTGTCTACATAGGATTAGAATTGTGCATGCCACAAAACACATTCTTTCTAATATGCTCTCTCACATCAGCATATATAGGAATAGCCTAGACAGACAGCCATATACCTCTCACTCCAACATACAAGTTGAGCTACATCTTATCCTCAAACACCAATACAAAATAGCATCATACATGGTTTAAACAAACACTTACCTAACACTCTGGCCATGCAAAGCATTCTAAAACTCCTAGCAGCAATATTTCAATAAAGTTCTCTTAATCTCCTTTACTGAAAATGGTCAAAGTGTATATTTCCTCCCAGAAATAAATTTAAAAAACCCCAATTTGGACTTAAACCCATCACTGAGCTCAATGACCTTGTTCTGGGTTGCTGATACATGCTGATGCAAAATGTAAGCGAAGTCTGGCTCTGTAGAGGCTTGTCTAATCAAGGCAAAACTGAATTTGCCCTTGCTTAAATTTTTGTTCAGTATTACAATTTTGGGGGTTTTTTGCCAGTATTTCTTGCTTTTAGTGGTGTAAATTGTTTTGGTAGGGTTAAATTTCCTTTAGAATTGGGACTAACACATTAGTTGTACTCTAGACACGTCATTTGTATAAGCATTTTGCTTCAGTCTTCCAGAGTGGAATTGCCATCTGGACTTTAACCTTTAAATCTCTCAACTTTTTGCTTTGATTAACTGATTTTACATACTTTAAAGTCATATCAATCAAAGAATACAATCTGAAACAAAACAATATTCTAACCTTCAAATTTCAGATACTTTTTTTTTAAGTTCTCCCGATGTTAAATACATCCTCATGACAGAATGAATTAATAGTAGGTTCTGCTCTTTGTTCACTCCCATTTGCTGTCTGATATGAGATGGATTGTGTTACAGGTAAAGCCTTATAATGTAAACCAAAGAACTTAAATGGAAACTTAGGGCTAGCTTTTGTTGAAAAATCTCTTTGTATAAATAAAATGGACACAATGAAAGGGGACTGAGCAAAAGTCCTGAAGACAATGAGTTCCATTTCATAGGGCTCAACTTAAGTCCCATTAAAGTCAGTTGTCACATTAATTTTGATGGGATTTTGGTGGGTTTTAGGTTCCTGGGGCTTAGAAGTGCTCTGCGGGCCACACACACACACACTTTTCTGTAGGAGAGAGTAGTGAGGGGACTGAAGGGCTTTGGCTTCCTACAAAATGACTTCCATGCTATCTAAGGCTGCCTTTGCCTACACAATAGTTGCTTTTAAAAGTTTCCCATTCTGATTTTCATCATTTGGAGTGCTAGTGCAAGACAAGATGCTGCCAACTGCTACTGTCTTAGCCACTGTTA